CAATATCTTTGAATGGTTAGGATAAATTGGGAGAGATTTTAAAAGATTTAAACAAGATTTTTTTTTGATTTTGTTAAAATTATTTTTTAAAATATAGTTCTAAAAAAAGGATTAAATTTTATTTTTATATTTTTTGTATTTTTTGATTATTTATTATTAAATTTAAAAAATATTCAGACAAAATACGGTGTTCACAAGCTGAAATCAAAAACAAATGCTTCTGCTTTTTTCGATGATAGAGAACCCATTAAAAGTAACTATTCCCTCTAGTCCATTTTATTGATCACTTTATAAGTTATTAGATTAATAATGATATTTTAAATAAAATGTTTAAATTATTTTTAAAAAGAGTGAGAGAGAAAAATAATATTATATAATTTATTTATTTTTTGAGGATTATGTTTGTAATTTTATTGAATTTTATTTTTTATTTTTTTTTGTATTGATATTGATGAGATAAAAATAATTTATAAATAAGATTTAAGAAAGTATTTTTTTTTTTATAGTAAAAAAGGCAGCCAATAGACCTTAGCTACACAAACCAAGAAAAGAAATGACATGAACACGTCTAAAATCACATGCAATATCTCTTATACATGGTCATCAAACAGCCCCTCTGTGCTTCAAACATTGCGCTTATTTCCCTCAAAAAAACTCAAGAAAGCTAAAATATTTTCATAAAATGTGATATAAGATGGGAAACTTTGTATGATAAAATATTTAAATATCATATATGATATTATTCAAGATTAAAATTCAAGTAGGAAACTTGTACCGGTAAATATTTGGAATGTTAGTAATTTATTATTGTCATAAGTATTATTATATTTATGTCTTATATGAGACATTAATCTTAGATATTAATAAATATTTTGATAATTAATTTTTTCATTTATATTTTTTTATTTTAATAATGACCTGTTTGTTGTAGGTTTGACCCTCAATTTAACCTTTATTGGACCACTAATTCGTAAACTAGTGCCTCAACTAGTTTGATAACTTATCTAATTTTCAATACATTGTTCTCTACCCATATCACCCTTTATCTGCACCATTTGAGCTAAGTTTCAAATGGCTCTTTCCCATTATTTTCTCTTTTATAAAATGACATCTTACTGCTATTTCTACATAAAAATATATGTTGCTAATTTTATTATAAATCCTCACACTTTTTTTAATATTTTATGTCTTTACACTTTTGTTTTTCAACATTATAAGTTTTTAAACTTTTATTTTTTAGTGTTTTAGATCTATATAATACCACTTGTGGAGGGACCTAAAACACTAAAAAATAAAATTGTAGAAATTTAGAACATTAAAAAAAGTAGAAAGATCTATAACAAATTCGAGCCAAATGTAAGGACTCAAAATTATATTTTTTTAAAAAGATATATTATTGGATTATAGATTCAACTTCTGAGAGTTATGGTCATATTTTTGGTTTTTTGATTTTTTTCCTCCTCTGTCTCTTCCTCAAATTCTAATGAAGTAATAAAAGGATAAAAAATTTTACTCCTTTGTTTATAGTTATATTTAGAATTAAGAGTTAATTTTGTCTCTCAACTATATGCAAAAGATCATTGACGATCCTAAATTTCACTTTGAATCAATTTTATTCCTTAACTTTAAAAATTTAATTGTCCATGCCCTTGACGCATTAAAAAAAATTGATAATAACATTATGTAGCTATTAAAAGTCACCACCAAAAGTAGAGTTGCGGTGACTTTTAAATACTACAAGTATTTTCCTAAAAAATAAATTTATATAATTACTTTTAGTGGCAATAGTTTCTCATTGTCAAAAATATTTTCATAAAAAATAATTAAAAAATTAAAAATAATTTATGTAATACTTTTAAAGGTGACAAACTATTGTCGCCAAAAATATTTTTATAAAAAATAATTAAAAAATTAAAATAATTTATGTAATTTCTTATCAAAAGTATTTTTATAAAAAAATAATTGAAAAATTAAAAATAATTTATGTAATTATTTGTAGCAGCGATAAACTATCGCTGCCAAAAGTATTTTGATAAAAAATAATTAAAAAATTAACAAAATTTTTATAAAAAATAATTTACATAATTACTTTTAGTGGCAAAATTTGTTGCCACTAAAGGTATTTATATATAGAATAAAAATAAATTATATATAAGATCGATAATGATTACTTTTTAAAATAATAATATTGTTAAGTTAGTATTTTAATAATTACATTTAAAAAAATTTCTTATGGATTAATTTTTAATAATGATCTTATTAAGCTAGCATACATAATCAAGCTAAGTTATATATAAATATAAATGAATTATTTTTTATAATTTTTTATGAATTATTTCAAAAAAATAAATTATAATCAAGCTTAGTTATACATAAAAACCTACTTACTTACTTATATATATATATATATATATATATAAATAGCACTGAAATGTTAAAGTTGTATGGATGTTATAAGATGTAAATGACATTATAGACTACTTAATACATGACACACTTGATACTTAGCTTGATATTCACATGGTGTCTATTTGGGAGAAGAAAAACGTTTAATAATTTATTTATTAATTTTTGAGAAAATTATGAAAAAAATAAAAGATATTTAATGTAAACTAATGTAATACATAATTATAAATAAAGTATATACTCAATCATTTTCCTTTAGAAAATAAACACGTAATTTAAAAATTGGTTAAGACGTTTATAAGAAAATTATTTAATATTTAAAAATTATTTCATTTTAATTTCATTCTCCTAAAAAATATTTGCTACAATAATATTTTATTAAGAATATATAATATATATACACTCACATAAATTATTTTATCATATTAATAAATGAAAATAAAATATATATGTATATATTTCTAATAATATATTATTTGATATACGTGTATGTAATTAAATAATATATATTTAATTTTACATATAATAACTGCAAGTACATTTCAGTTTAACTGACAAAAAAATAGATTTACGGCCTGAGAGGTAGAGATTAAGGATTCAAATTTTAACTTAGACAAATTTCATAATGAATATATGACACCGCATGACGTGGCGCATACATGACGGGGTGACCTGGCACGTGCCGTGGCAAGTGATATGGCACATGTCAGTCTAACATGGCATGAGGAGATGCTGATATGATATGAGATGACACTTTTATATTTTTTAAAAAAATGATTGTCATAATTAAAAGTATAAACTTATAATAGTAAAAAACTTTTGACAATGATTATGTTTGTAACTGTTATATTTTTTGTGGTAACATTATTTATCTATTAAGTAGGTTCCACGTTTAATTTTTTAATATTTTTTATTATAAAATATTAAATAGTGGGTCTTATAATTCATTTTAATATTTTTATAATATGCAAATATTACTCTCTCTCCTCCCTCTCCCCTCTTCATTCCCTCTCTCCTTGCGAATCGCATCTCTGCTTTGCACTAGCACTACCAGAGACAATTAAGATGCATGAGATGTTTATTGAATCTAGGCATTACGATCGTGTTAATCATTGGAGGACCTCTGAGTCAAGAGAAAGTCACTGCTTTGAACCTTAAGAACATTGGCTATCACACTTAGTTCAAGCTAATCCTCAAGTAAGTAATACATAAGTATATGTACTGTGTGGCTTTCAATATTGTTATGTGTGTGTGATTGTTGATCAGAGTTTAGGGTTATATTGTATATATGTATATAGAAATACGATGGAGTACTCGAGAATGATGGCGGCAATGTACAAATTGGCGGAGAGGAAGAAGCTGGATACTTATATTGGTAAAGTGGATACAGAATCATCGAAAACAAGAGAGATCAATGGAGTGACCTTCTGGGTACTTATACATGTCGGAGATTTATAGGGTCTCATCATTTTGACAACAACAAATCTTCAGTGTTGATTTGCAACATTGTTTTAAGCATCTCCGATGACGCATTTGAGGAGGTCGGCAAGGGAGGGACTATGGGAGACATGGGCTCTAACTAAACTTTGATATGGGACTTGGACATGCACTATGGATTGATTGAAAAAGGTGCATCTTTCATCAGCAAGGGTGCTGATGGGCATTGTAGATTTTAGAGTTTGCAGCGAGTGGTCTAGACATTGGCGAACTAGTAATATCTCTGACGAGCCAAGTCCTCTCTCTCCTCCACTTTCTCTCTCCTTCCTCTCATCTTTTCTGTCCTCTCTCTCTCTCTTCCTCTCTCTCCTCATATTTCTTCATGGTGACAAGCCTTTTCATGGCAACATCATGGCATTTTCTTGCTTCAACAGAATCCATGATCTGCTATCATGGTGTCATGCATGCATGGAAATAAAGAATGCAGAGAAGGAACGGAGGAAAATGTAGAGAGGACGCTGAAGCTGTGGCTAAGATGGAGCAGAGAGAGACTATAAGGAAGGGAGAAAGAGAGTGGGATTACCCATTGTTTTAGCTTGATATGCCATTCTCCTTTGGCCTTGTTTAACCTTTTTTTTTTTTTTCCCCTGCGTGGTGCTAAGGATCAATTACTAGATCCTTCATTTAATCTTAGAGTAATTGATAGAAAATGAACGACTTGCTCCCACAACAGCCAACTTATCCGATCTCGAGAGAGAGCAGAGGAAGAGACGAACAAGGAGGGAGAGAATATTTTATAATAAAAAATATTAAAAAATACACAAATGGGACCCACTAACGAAAACAAACGGGTAAGTAAAAGGAATATCACTATATGAAGGAATCTTTAACGTTGGAAAATAAAATTAATTTATAATTAAATATAGAGTTTTTAATAATTTTTTGAGTATCGTTGAAGGATAAAAATAATTTTTAATTCTTTTATTTATAATCTGGATAGTTTTTAAAACTTTCTCTTTTAAGCAACTAATTTTACTTATTTTGGCATTTTAAATTATGAAAATCAGTCATTTCTATTTTTAAGCAAATAATAGTAGCAGTTTTTTGCCAAAAGGCGTGTCTATTTGTGCCTGTGTTTGTGTGTCATGAAAAGGGGAAAACTGAATGCTGAAATAGTAGCAGTTTTAAATGGATTATTAATTCCAATGAACGTTGGCTCCTATTGGTCGCAACTCTCGAGAGAAAGCGAGTCATGAGTGTGAAATGGTTTTGGAGGATTCTCAGGAGTTCGGAAATTGAGAAACCCGACCCCCGCTCGTCACAATTTGCATTTTGCACTTGTTAGGCATGTTTGATTTCCTACTTTCCATCGACCATGAATTAAATTGAATTGAAGTGAAGTGAAGTAGTTGGTCCTCCAGCTTCTTCATCGCAAATTCCTGAAATCAGAATCGGGAACGCCGATCGATTGCTCCCCCCCCCCCCAAACAATTGAATTATAATCAGCAGATTCATGGAGCTCATGGTTGACATTGTTTCGGCAGCTCCATGGGTTCCTGAAGATGACCTGCGCTTGAAGAACGCTGTCGAGGTACCCCTTTTTCTTTTTCGAAATCACTTTGTTCCATCCGATGCATGAAATTAAAACCCTAATCTCTCCCCGTCGCTTGGTGCTTCGTTTCTGCAATTGCAGTTGCCTCTGAGTTGTCAATTTAGTGGAATTCGCCTATCGTTATTAATTTTATGCAGACTGTAATGGTTGAAAGTACCCGCTAATCTTGCTTGTTGCTTCAGTTCTCCTTCGATTGATGCATTTTATTTGTTTGTTATGTATAGGCGGGCGCTTCTTTGGAATCACTTGCCAAAGGAGCGGTTCAGTTCTCGCGGAAATATACGCTTAGGGAGTTGCGGGATCGATGGCAGTCTCTCCTTTATGATCCTGATATTTCAGCTAAATCTTCTGCTTCTATGGTTAATTTAGAGCATCCTCCGCTGACTATGCCTTTCAAATCCAGCGGGAATGGAACTAAAGAAAGCTTGGCTGATAGTTCCGCCAAAAGAAAAGCTCAAAGCATTCGCAAGCAGTATTATGCCATTCGCAAAAGAGTCTGCATGGAGATGATGGACTCTTTTGATAAGGCTTTGCGTCATGAAGTGAATGTTGTTGAGAACACTGGAGATGGTGTTTGTGAAAAGGATATAATGGTGTATGATGAGTCTCTTGCAGGGTACTGTAGGAAGGGCGATAAGGTTGAAAAGGATATTGGATTTCAGGAACCAGGTACTATGTCAGGTAAAAAAGACAATGGAGCCTCTTTGCTACAGGAAAATGTAAAGAAGGACATGAATAACTTACTTGTGGATAATTTAGTTGATTATAGGAATTGCTCAGGGCTAGAGGAAGTAGGTTCCGCTCATTCACTGCCTGAGCCACTTTGGAAAACAATGGAGGATATCACAGCACCTACTATGCCTGTCCATGTGAGCGTAGAAAATAAAGATCAACGTGTGGAAGAGCAGTCAGCGCTTCCTAATCAGTTGAAAGGGAAACATGTCAGTGATGTGTCAGATGTTGCCAATGCTATCTCCAAAGAAGAAATAGCAAACCTTTCGGATTCTCTCTTAAACTTCACTAATGACGATGAGCTGTTATTTATGGATATAGATGGGAAAGACGCACCTGAAAAGTCTTGTTATGACAACCTTGATTCGCTTCTGTTGACTTCTCCTAGTGAAATCCAGAGCAGCGATGCACCTGATTTCCATGAATCTCATAAGTCAAATAAAGAAACGCAACTTATTCCTCGTGATTCATCTACTAACACGTTAGAGGTTGTAGCCAACCCATCAGACTGCGGTCATGGTGATCGGGACTCTACTTCTAATCCTGGTAATGATATGCAATCATTTGTTGCACAGCAAAGTCTTCATTGTGCTGGCCTTGGTGATGAATTTATTCATTGTGTGTTGAACACGGAGGACTCTGAAATTCCATCCAATGATGATTTTGGCTCACCTCTCGTAGTTCCTTCTAAAACTCAACCAACTCATAAGGAGGGTGGTTTTCCAGTTCCCTCTTCTAGTAATCAACGAAATATAGAAGCAGAGATAAAGTTGAAGAAAGAAGGCAATCCTTCACACTCGTTCACAACTTCACAGATAGTTAGACCTGCTTTGGTGGCTAACATAAAGCCAAACCAACAGCCTGTTGGTGTTGCTATGAAGACAGAGTATCTTGGCAGAAACCAATTTTCTGCAGTCTCAAGACAGGGTCAAACGGCCAGCGTCAATCCAAGTCCAAGCAGATTAGTTAATGTAGCCATCAAGTCTGCTGCAGATGGGCGTCTGAAAGAAGAGGTTAAATACTTCAATTTCAGGATACTTTATAACTAGATGCGAACTTTTTGGTGAACTAATTTTATGGTTGTTCTTTTTGTGAACAAAAATTCATTGAAGGTGCTTGTCATAAACAGGAAATTGATGCTCCAGCTTCAACTAATGTTGCTGCTCATTCAAAAGCTGATAAACATAATGGTTTTCCTAAAACAGAAGGAAACCTTTTAGGTTTAGCTCAGGAAGAAGTAGAGGAAGACAATGACAACGATAACAATAATGACATTCCTTACTTCTCTGATATTGAGACGATGGTAAGTATTAATTGTTACATTGAATAGTGTGTTCCCTCATGATCCAATTTATCAGGTAATCTTTCATAATTATTGGTGTTGCTTTCTCAGATTCTGGAAATGGATTTATGTCCAACTGATCAAGATTCAAGCGCAAGTAGAGAAGGTAATTCATTTGATACCAGATAAAAATAAGATGATCACAGTTTTGATATGGCTTTAAGTTGTGGCAAAAATAAAAAGGTTTAAAATGGACATTGTTAGTTTGGCTTGAATATTTTAGAATTTATTCTTGTGAATGAAGTTGCTGGTTGCTTCTGATGAATTGTTATGTTTCATGTCCACATAGAATGAAATAATGGGGTACAGGATTGAAATCCAGCCTAAAATTGCAATTCCATGACTCCCTAGTCAGGCGTTGTTGTGAGTGCTCAGGGTTTACCTATTGAGGATCGCCACATACTTTAGGTTTTCAATTGATGTTTTGAAATTTAAACTGTTACTCTGCTAGTCTTCTTACTTCTCTTTTCTCCTTCTGAAACAATATATACTAGAAGTCTAGAACTAGAATATTTTGCCCAACAAAACATTATTGATGTGGTTCCACGTTGAATTTTTTGATCTCTGTATTTCAATGATGGCTGTTTGTCATCTAGTATGCACTTTCATTCCAGCTTCTAGGTATCAAATCGAATATTCCAAGAGGACCATCATGAGACTGGAACAATGTGCTCAATCCCATGTGCATAGAGCTATTGCCTCACGGGGTGCACTTGCTATGTTATATGGGCGCAACCTGAAGCAATATATTAAGAAAAGCCAGGTGCATGCATTGAGCCTTTTCATTTTAGATATGGAAGCTGAGTCTTCCCTTAATATTATCTTTCCTCCTGTACAACTTGTTTGCTGTATTTGTTTAAAGTCAATGAATATGTTAGATCCTATTAGGGAATGCTTGTGTGTGTGTGTGTGTGGGGACAGATGCATGCACTATTGCCAGTTAGCCCTTGTGGTTTTTCTTGTCAAGCTATTGCCACTGTGTTAGTCATGAAGTAATTATGATCATAGTTGTTGATACTGTCTCTGGAAATTGGGCTATACAAAGAAGAAGAAGAAGAAGTAGTTATTCCCCTGGTCTTTGAGGATGTTATTTCATGTACTTTTGGTTGCTCATTCTGAGTTTGAATTATGTTTAATGTTTAAACTCATTGAATTCAGTGTAGTGTCAACCATCTGCAGCCTGGACAAAAGATTTCCCATTATCAGGCTCTCTTTCTTGAGTACCCATTGTTAGGCTAAACTTGCCGCTATATACTGCTGCGCGTGTCTTTCTAGGGCTTATTCTTTAGTATGAGATGCTGAATTTTGCACTTCCTCACTTGGCATCGTCACAGGTTATACTTGGCAGAGCAACAGATGATATAAAAGTTGATATTGACTTGGGAAGAGAAGGGCGGGCTAACAAAATATCTAGACGACAAGTAAGATTTCTCTCGGTGTAACTTGTGATTTTTTTTGAACTCCAGATGCATGAGATGTACTTGTCATTTCCTAAAAAAAGAATCTTTTCTGAGAGATTAATAAATCGCTGGACGGCCAATATCTTACTAGGTCGCATTCATTCCTTGGAATAGGATAATGATCTTACAGATCTTTCTGGAACAAGTTTTATTCTTTCCCGTGTCTGGACTCTGGATCATATTCCATTTGCATGGGCGCTATATACAGCAAGAACCAGAAGAATATTTGTACTCATTTTTTAGAAACTTGAGTAGGTCTCATGCATTTGCATGAAATTCATAGTGAGTTGTACATCTGTTTGTGACTCGTAAACAGTGTGGCTTCCTATAACTTTTATAAATATCTTGATTGATTTTTAATTTTCTACACTGAAATCGTAATGGCAAGAATTACTTCATGTTAATTGCTAGGCTCTAATAAGTATGGAAGCAAACGGTTCTTTTATTATAAAAAATCTTGGCAAGAGTTCAATCTTCGTGAATGGCAAGGAAATTGTCACTGGGCAGATGCGGGGTCTTAGTTCTGGTAGTCTGATTGAGGTAAATGCGATTGCTTTCCATTTTTAGTTGACTTGATATAAATGCCCACTTTTGTTCCTCGAGAAGCAGAATAATTTGTGGCAACTGGCTCGCATGCAGATTAGAGATATGTCATTCATCTTCGAGATCTACAACAAATCCGTGAGACGGTTTTTGGACAATGTGGATAAGAAAAGCGACGATACAAGCAACAAATTTAGTTTGTTACCTGAGGGAGGTCAGGAGAAAGAGAAATGGCATCGGAAGGACCGCTCTTAAGTCTTACGGGTAGCATCCTCGTGCCAGCCAAAGAGAGACGAGGCGACACATTGTTAGTATTTTATAAAATGATCTGCCCGTTGCATTTCAGAACGCTGTATATATAGATAGAAGACATAAGCTACATGGATATGCATCCCTCTGTCGTAGAATGACCATAGCTTGTCTTACTTGCTTTCCAATTTTTTTTTTTTTTTTGCCCGGGTGATAGACGTGGTTTTCGTGGGCACATCATCCTTAACTAGAGTAGAATAATCACGGGGGAAATTACATAACTAAATAAACGATGATTATTATGGTCTCCATTACCGCCCCCCTTCATTTAGTTTCTGTGACCCTATTCGTGATCGATCCAAACGGATTAAACTGAACCTATCAATAACAACTTCAAATAAGGCTTGGTTTGGTTTTCAATTTTGACAAATCGATTGATGATTGGGTTTAGGTTTTGGTTTTTACCTTCAACCAAAATGAATTAAACTTGATTGGTTTTAGTTAGATTTTTTTAAAATTTTAAATATCATTTCAAGCCCTATTTTAAATGCCAAATAAGCCAATAGTTTTTGGTCTCTCCCCCTTTAAGATCAATAACATATTAAAATAGTAAAAATTAATTTATTAAATATGTGAATAGATTGGCTCCGCTGAATTTGGTCAAAACTCAAACTTAGCCGTTTTTGTTCCTTCGGGCTTGGGGTATTGGCGTGCTGCACTTCTCACTTCTCGCTCCCATCAAGCGAATAAAAAATGATGAGCAGTGCACCAGCCGGGAATCGAACCCGGGTCTGTACCGTGGCAGGGTACTATTCTACCACTAGACCACTAGTGCTCCTTTCTTGCTGGCCATTGTATTAGAAACTTTTGTATGATTTCACGTCTCGCACCAAAATATGTCGGTTTTCACTCTTGCGGTAACAAGTAAATACGTCTTGTTCTCTGGTTTGCTACAGAGAATTGGTGAGTTGGGTTGCATTTATGTGTTCCTTGAAAGCGGTGGGGGTTGTAACCATAGAGGAGTGGCTCAATGGGTGTTTGTGTATTATGTTATTGTAGGGAATTTATTGAAACTCCTACCCTGGGAATTATATACATACGATCCTTTGATGGGTGTTACGTTGTAATGACCCTATTTGCCATATCGCTATCAATTACTTTGTAGAGATACTTGGTTTAGTATATCACACTTAAATGTTACTTCATATAAATATGAGAAAAGTAACACGGCAAGAAAGCAACACAGAAATCACGAAAGATTACCAAATATAAATTCGGTTACGGGGTTGCTTGTATTTCCCGAAAAAATATCGTTTTCATTTGGCCATGTTTATTTGAATTTGAGATGAAGGCGAGATCAACCTATGTATATACTATATAGTTTACAGTGAGAAACTCCAACAACGAATGGGTCATACCAAAAAAAAAAAAAAACCATGCATAAAGTTAATTGGCCATAAAGGTCAGTAGAGTGAACATGGCAAGAGGCGGTTGGTGTGAATTTATGGGAGCCACCAAACCTGCTATTACCTACTTCTTCCATCTTTATATATAAAATATTTTTTAAAAATTTATTTTATTCTTAAATATAAATAATGTTAATAATATTTTTAAAAAATTAAATAATTTTATCCTTATATTAAAAAATAAAATAGACAATTACTTCCTTCGTCGCTATATATAAAGTATTTTTAATTAAATCCTGTATACTAATAAACATTTGTTATTTAGTTAAACTCACATGAAAACATAATTTTTTTTAAATTTTATTCCTAATAATATCATAATTAATATCATGATGGCGGTAGGAAAAACATACAATTACTTCCTCCATCCCTATATATAAAGTGTTTTTTAAAAATTTATTTTGTCCCTAAATATAAAGGGTGACAATGACATTTTTAAGTAATTAGACAATTTTACTCTTGTCTTGAAAAACATAATAAATCATTAATTGTATATTTTTTCTATCACTATCGTGATATTAATTATAATATTATTAGGAGTAAAACTGAAAAATCATTATATTTTTATCTAAATTCAACTAAATAATAAACCTTTATCAATATATGAGATTTAAATAAAAATATCTTATATATGAAAAGGATAGGAACGGAAGGAGTAGTTGTTTAGTGAACTTGGGAAGTAATGAATGGCTTCTTGATTGCCTCAACTTCATCATTGATTCTGGATTTCTTTAATTAGTTTAATGGTTAGAGTAAGAAGCTGGAATAGCAGCTTTCTCAGCAGGTAAGGGGTGAATAACATAGTATCGAATGCTATGAAGTACCAATATTAAAAAGAAGAAGAAGAAGAAGGGAAAAGTAAACACACTTATATCCAATACAATAGATGTACAATACTATATCATATGTATCATATATTTTAATATTTGTATTATAATTTTTTTCAATAATATTTTCCTATATCACTTCAAAACTTAAAAAATTTAATGCTTTGATTGATTATTACAAATATCTTCATCTCACTTTGGAGATACTTGTTTAAAAATGAAGTTACCTGTACTTGTATCTGTATTCTAAAACTTTGAAAGCTGTTGTATCAATTATATCATGTTGTATCGAATCCAATATATGTACTCAAATAGGTGCTTCTTAGATTGAATATGAGGGGTGCTGCGAGTCCAATGCACAAATTCATCATGAAGGTCAAGCAATGAAGTAACCGCTTAATGTTTGTAATTGGAGGGAGCGAGGGCACATTTTCCGCAGATATCAGATACCCTATTGCCTATTGGCATTATAAGGGTCACCACTCTTTATTTAATATTGCCCGTACGTGGGTTTGATTTTGTGCTGAAATTGCTTGCATATCCGAGTGTGGCAGTCTCGTGTCCCTCCCTCTCTTCCGTTCAAATTCGAAGCCCTTTGAAGTTTGAATCATTCCCTTTGCATTTTGAATCCTCATTTTCATCCCATCTCTTCATTTCCTTTCAACCCACAACAAACCTCACCCGAAGTTTCTTGACCCTCCGTACTTGCTCTTCATTTCTTTCTCACCTGCTCCTCCGATCCCTTTCAGTTTACTTCCTTCTTTCCCATTATTTTATCTTTCATTGCGAGGTTAAAGCGTAACGTACCCAAACAAAACAACGGACGGCCACGCCTAGAGCCTCTTACCTCTTACCGAGTCTCTGATTTCTTTCAATCCAAGGGTTAGCAGGGATGGGGAGAGAGTTTTGCATTTGAATTCTCTGCATATACTTAACTTACTAAATATGAATCTACATTTTAGGAATAAGAAAAGGGTTAAAAATGAATATGGAAAGGAAAAAAAAAAAAGAGTGTCGGTGCACTCACAATGTTGTTGTATTTTATTGCGCATTCATGAAAAGTATTTTCTCTATCAAACATTTTGTAATTTTAAGACATAATTTTTAAATTTGACTCCTGCGCTAGTTACTGTGTGTTGAGTAATTATACATGTTAAAAATTATGCATGAGAGTTGTAGAAAGTGACAAAACCGAGAAAGGAAGTCAAATTTGCGTGAGATTTTCAAAAAGATTGAACTTGTTTAATACAGGAATACACATCAGAAGTGTTATGTATTAAGAAGAAGCGGAGGAGTACACTAAAATAGTGGAGGTGCAAGAATGAAGAGGAGGGGCGGCTGAAGCTGAACGTCAACCTTTGGATTAAGGTTGTTAAATGGTAAATGAGTGTTAAACATATTATCGAGACTTTCCATCATAACGCAACAAGCAGAATGGAAACATGCATGCCTTTTGAATGTTGCACTTTGCTTGCAAGCCATGCCCTGTCCTCATCATTTCTTGTTCTCCTTTCTCCTCTCTCTATTTTCTTTCCTTCTTACCCAACACACACATCTCCCATATCCATTAAAAAGAGGACTCGGATCGGGAACTGTCCATACAGGCTGCGAGTAGTTAAGGAAATCTTTGAAATCAAGTACAAGGTTTTGGGACATGTACATGTGTTCATTGTTTGTTAAGGAAATCTCCCAAAGCCATGCCCTGGCTTGGCTGGGGTAACTATATGTTAACTAGCTAAAGCGTGAATCCTGAAAATGTAATGTTTTTATACATCTTACATTCGATGCATACAGAGATATGGAGGAAAGTAGCCACCAGAATGAGCGGTTAGGCGTATCGGGTAATTTAGTCAAAAGGCACGGGATGGGCCATTTCCTCGGTCTTGTCTAACACTAAAGTGATGAAAAAGAACAAAGCCGGACTTGAATTCTAAAAACAAAAACTGCGGTTTCCTAGATGGTCACGATTTTTGTTCTCATACAAAAGAGAGAGCCAACCCTCGTAAGGTTTAACTGATTCTTCTTTCTGTACGTATTTTATGCCTTAATATGTTAATGTCATTTATCAGTAAAAAAATTGAGAGAGTAGATGACTGGACCTGCCCTTCCTAATTTGCGCCAAAAAGAAGCAGAGTGTCGTGGATATATCATATCGAGTATGGCTGCTTTTGTAATGAAGCGTATCCGTTACGTGTAAAAAAACGTATATGATCGTATAAAATAATAAATAAATACACGTTATGTATGAAGAGAGAGAGAGAGTAGAATGAGAAGAGAAGCAAATGAGAAAGAAACGGGCAGTTTGAGTTTGTAGTAATTGGAGCATGGACGCTTTCAGCCCAGATTCAATGCTTTACCAAACTCACCCACCTCTTCTCTTCTCTCCTTCCATTTCTCAGCCCCCAACCTCCTCTCCCTTTTCTCGTCTCTCTCTTCTTCAGGTACTCTCTCCCTCCCTCTCTCTGTTTCCTGGGTTTCCAAATACAACACTCGCTCTTCCATGCGCCATGTTTTTCCTCAAAATTTGCTCACTTGTGGTTGGTTGGTTGGTTCTTTCTAGGCCGGAACCCCAATGAAGTGCGTCCAGGCAGCCTTGAAGACCAGTTTCAGCAAAGACATGGCCCTCAAACTTAACCCCCTATCTTCTGTAGACGACTTCTCCGCCTTCAGTGTCCAGAATGCCGTCCCTTCCGACGACTTCTCCGTCGACGAACTCCTCGATTTTTCCCACCTGGACGACCCTTCCGAGGATGACCAACACCCTAAGGCTGACTCTGCTTCTGTTTCCCCTCCACCAGCGGACCAAAGTCATGAAATTTCTCACTCTGCCTTCGTCAAAGACGATGTTAACTCCTTGCCGTCCAGCGAACTCAGCGTTCCGGTACTCTCCCTTCGTCGCTTCTTCCCCTAAACTCGTTTTCGCTGTCCCTTGTTATGATAATTGACGAAAGTTGGGATTTTTGCAGGCCGATGATTTGGAAAACTTGGAGTGGTTGTCTCATTTTGTCGAAGATTCCTTCTCGGTATATTCCACCGCGTATCCCGCCGGAACTCTAATGGGAAGACCCAAGAGCCTTGCCGAACAAAGGCCCAAACCGGACGGCCATCTTTCGGCTCACCCTTGTTTTACAACTCCGGTCCCGGGCAGGGCCAGAAGCAAGAGAACGAGAGTCGGAGTTCGGGTCTTGCCTTTCAGGTGTCCATCCTTGACCGAATCATCCTCGACCTCCACCTCGTCTTCCTCCTCCTCGTCCCCCACGAGTCCATGGGTCATCTACCCCAACGCAGCGCCCGAGCAAGCCTGCTCCGAGGGCAGGCCCCTGGCAAAAAGACCCAAGAAAAAGCCGGCGCCAGAGGTCGGTGGGGGGACCGACGGAGCAGCGCAGACGCCGCGCCGGTGCACCCATTGCGGGGTCCACAAGACACCGCAGTGGCGAGCCGGGCCGCACGGAGCGAAGACGCTGTGCAACGCGTGCGGGGTCCGATACAAGTCGGGGCGGCTGCTACCGGAATACAGGCCGGCGTGCAGCCCGACGTTCTCGAGCGAACTGCACTCGAACCACCACCGTAAAGTGCTGGAGATGCGGCGGAAGAAGGAGGGAGCGGGCGGAGGCGAGTCCGATTCGGGTGGGGGCCCGAGCCCGGCAGTGCCGAGTTTTTGATAAATATTTGAATGGATAGAACTTTAATCCAATTTTAATTTAATGTTAGAAATAGAGGAGGACATCCCATAGAAAAGAGTGGCAGGAGTAGGTAAAAAATGATGGGGAATTGGTGTAAATGTTTTCCCCTCCGGGTGGCGTCAGGCAATTAGGCAGTTGTAACTTGTAACAGATTAGGCAGGCTGGAGGATCCGATGTCTTTTAATAAAACCAAACAAGTTTTAAATTTTAAAATTGGAAAAGGGAACGAGAAGTAGGGAAACGTTGAAAAGCGGGGGAAGTGATGGATGTGGTGCGTTTGTTGTGTCTGGTCCCCCCCCCCCCTTCCTTCTCTCTCTTTCTCTGTGATTGTCGTGTGATGCTGGCAAACGCACGCAAATACTTCCTGTAGTTGTACGTTTCAGTTGGAAGCGACCTTTGCTCAAGGAAATCGCACGCCACGCTCTCCACGGCGTAGGAATCTTTGGGTCGTCCGAGGGAATAGAGTCCCACGTCTTTATTGTTTCTCCTCACGTGCTCCTCTTGAATTTAATGGTGTAGTGGAAATAGACAGTAGTGTTCATCTTGCCAGATCACAGTGGCTCTGATTATTAATTAAGAATAAGGAAGGGAAGATTTCGAATTCTGTGATATCCGGCTGAATTAGGAACCAGTTTCCTTGTTGGGTAGCCAATCTGACATAAAGTTCACCTCGCTTATAAACATTGCATTCCAGATCATGATCATAATGATGATTATAGTTCATTTTACGCAGAAATCTAAATCGTATCTACTTTTAATTATGAAACTATACACATCACATTACATCATGTACGAAGTTCAAAATCTTATCATCCCAGCCTTTCGCTCTCTTCTTTAACCTTCCCTTTTCGTTTCGGTTATGATAAATCGACTCGACTTTCATGTAAATTTTTTAGCATGTGATGCCAACAAAAGCTAAAAAAACGAATCAAATATCATGCATGCTGTTGCCACTATCTAGCTTCTATTAAAATATGTAAATAAATATTAAGTAGTTTTAAAAATTGCTCTGGGCCAAATACGATATGTGCAAGAGTACCCGAAATGATGAGTCACACGACTTTAAACTTGCGTGTGACTTGGCTCCTGAAGGATTTGAATGAGAAGATTAAAGTGAAATCTAAGGAACACTATAGATGGATGCCGATTCTCTGGATACTTTTACGGATATGGTGCGCCCACTTCATTCCTATGTTCAGATTTCATCATCATGTTGGACCTGCCAGTGAGCCAACGTTTCCCTATGTTTAGGCCCCAAACCAAAGCAGCGGGAGATGCTTTGGAAGGACTATTTCATTATTTCAGATACCCGATTTGTGCTGAGCTAAAAAACATGGCAGGCTCGGCCCAAAAAGGAATGCAGAAACATTGAATTCAAACCCAAATTAGGACTGAAAAACAAATCCACGAACCCAGATACCCAATAGGTCTCATATGTTTTTTAGTAAAAGAGACAGAATATGTTCTTATTCCTTTGTCATGTACCGCGAGGTGATTATACATTTTGAATGGAGTAAATTGAATACTTTGAAGGCGGATATCATAGAAAATTAACGAGTAACACCTTGATCATACATTAGAATTTTATAATTTGTTTTAGAGACCTAGATAGTCCCGGTTCATATAAGCATGATGCTCAACAGTCTTATGTCCTAATTCAGGAGCATGTAGTTTTATTAGGATCACCCATGTTCATATGCGATCGAGAAAGCCAAGGGGAAAAATTCGAAAGACTGCTCCACTCACGTCAGTTTCCTCCCACGTTATAAAAATGATTTGCCGTGGAGGATTGGGAATTAATCTTGTTAATTATCTATAAATACATGCACGGGTTGAAATTAGCGAGAGAGACGATTTTGAAGACGATGCATGATAAAGACTGGCTGAAAGAAAGAGAGAGACAATGGCCATTGAAGGTTGGAAGGATCACTGTGTTTGAATATTTCAAGATAATTCGGCAAGAGGTGGCTGATTTCCTCTTGTAGGGGAGTGGACAGGGACGATAGTCTCGACTCTCGAGTACCGTACATACATGTCGCAACTAGTTCATGATCAGTCGCAGTGGGAGTTGTTGAGACCTACCAAACCGAACCGTGCACAACATATTCCGCTAGCTACAAACGCGTACAAGCTTTTAGGCAAATATCAAGCATGTGCATCTCAAAAAGTGCTCCAACCAACCTCCGAATCACAAGGCTGCTCTCCTGTTCTCGTTTTCGTCTCCCATTCGCTTCCATTAGGCTTTTACTCTGACTCTTGCTCCACTTGCTCCTATACATGTTCAACGACAAATTAAAATGACGATCTTCGTAGCGTTTCTTTCTGACACCTGTATGTTGTTTTTTAGTCTTGCTGGGAATCGAGTATATGCATCCATTCAATCAAATGATTCGTTTTAAACTTTTACTCTATATACTATACGGAGACCAGAATATTTTTTGAAACTGGAAATGTGCATTAGCTCGTGCAAATCAACGTCTTCATCATTGACAAGCGCCGAGGAAAATCCCATTAAGTCCACCTTTGAAAAATGAAGAAAAAAAGGTCCTCACGTTCACATTAATTACGATGACAGTTCATATAAGTAAAAATCCGTGTATCCGATTAATATTGCTTTCCTTATCAGTCTATTCACAGACTGTTCCCAAATATATTATCTCTGATTATGATTGAAGGACGGTGAGGTAAGGTTGAGCAATGCGTGAAGTAAGCCCAGTAGTTCGCTCACTGAGGAAATCAACTCCCACAATAATTTCGATTACTAAAATTTCACATGTAAACGTATCCGGGGAGTTTTAAACTGAACCCTTTTTGGGTTTAACTTACTTGTGATATGGTTAACTATTAGGAAAATATCGAAATCATTTTCCTCGATTATATATCTGATCAATCGAGATATTTCTGTGTGATCGACAATATTATATGTTAGGATCAATTTGATTAAGTCATGATTCTTGCAAATGGGTTACTGAACAAAATATAAAAATACTAAGGAAGGACTAACCAAGGTTTTGGAAGCCAATGAGAGAGTTCATTATTTCTGGGGATTTTGGTGATATATACACGCAATCGCTAACTTGCTGCATCTGATATTGCCAGCATTCTTGAAGGGTAGGCATTCATTTGTCGTTTTGATAGATCTATGTGACTATTTTTTTTTAAAATATAATTTTAAATCAATACACTTTATTCAAATTTTATTATAAATTTTTATATATTTTTTTAAATATTTTAATTTTTTATATTTTTAGTTTTTGAAATCTTAAATCCTAATGAAGGGACTTAGAACATAATATATATATATATGTATGTATGTATGTATGTATGTATGTATGTATGTATGTATGTATGTATGTATGTATGTATGTATATAAATTTAGAATACTAAAAAGAATGTAAAAATTTATAAAGAAACTTAAACAAAGTGCATGAATTTATAGTTATATTTTTTTTTTAATCTTTTCCACTAGTGTTGGACATTTCTAAGCTCTTTTATTTCATTTTTTGGCAGAAATCGTGTGCTTTGATGATCAATCTCAAATTCTTATTGTAGACTTTTTAAACTAAATCTTGTGAGAATTTTTTTTTAATCAATTGCCAATTCCACCATATCTTTTTAAAAAAAAAAATTACAGGATTTCACACCCATTCAAAATATGATCTCGACTAGCTATAAAATAATATTAATTATTCAAAATAATTAATTCTAAATATCTTAAATATGAATTTTAAATTTTAAATTTATTATAGAATTTATCTATGAATAAGTAACTACTTAATTTGTGCACGTGTAATAAATGAATAAAGAGTTACATAAAGATGATTATACATCTTAATTCAAAATCTATTAACTCAAGTTTATAATAAGTTTTTTTCTCTATTATATATTATTGACCAAATTTAATTTTATGAGACTTCTAAAATCAACAAAAATTTACTGGCATTTGAACATCTAAAAAGTGAAATAAAGTGTCTATTCGTCTAAACTTATCAACAATGGCTGAATGGCAAATGAGCAGAGCAAATGTGGAGATTTTAATTTCCTGCACCGTTGGTGGAGGAATGACCGAAACATCAATCACGTAAAAACAGCGCCAAGGAGTTCGTTAAATCCCATCAGGAATAGCGAACGAGAAGCAAGGTTTTGTTATTATTAATTAAGTAAAAAAATTAATCATTTAATCTTCATAATTTCAACTCAATTATAATTTAATTTTTAAATTTTAACTCACTGTAACTTAATCTTTAAAATTTTAATTAAATTATAATTTATTCTGTAAATTCTGACTCGGTACAATTCAGTTTTTATAATTTTAACCATGCAAGATATTAGTCCTTCTATTTTAAAACATAAAATTAAAAAGATTAGTTTTTTATAATTTTTATCAAATTAAAACTTTTAGTAATTTAAAATTGATCCCTAAATGTCAACATAATTTTAATTTTTAAAATTTTATTTTGAAAAAATTGGTGAACAGGACCTTACTGAAAGGGAAATTGGTCTCAAAGGCTAAATACAATTCAAAGACTAAGGCTAATATTTTATTCATTAAACAATATGAACAAATGATCGAAATACCCCTGTATTTAAATCAATGAAATTTAAAAAAAAAAAATAAAAGCTGCTTGTTCAATACATGTACTACAAACAAAAAGCTTTGCACCCAAGCTATAAGGTCTTGCACACCAAGCTACCTTCAGCCAAAAGCCTTGCATTCCCTAATCGGGGTGTAAAGCTTCTAGCTTAAGATGCATGTATTGAACATGTAGCCTTTATTTTTTTTTAATTCCGTTGGTTTAAATAAAGGAGTATTTCAATTATTTATTCATATTATTCAATGAATAAAATATTAGCCTTTATTCTTGAATTGCATTTGGTTTTTGGGACAATTTTCCTTTCAATAAGATCCTTTCCACCATTTTTTTTTATTTTTAAGATATAAGAATTAATATTTTAAAAAGTTAAAATTATAGAGATTGAATTGCAGCGATTCAAAATTCAAAAATTAAATTACAACTAAATTAAAATTATAAAAATTAAATTAAAAGTTATAATTGAAGGATTAAGTTACCATTGAGTGAAAATTATATAAATTAAATAATTAATTTTTTTATTAAGAAAGGATAAAAGGACAAGTCAACAACTATGCGGGCGAAAGATCACCTGCAAACTGTGCTGCAACTTCCAACTGTAAATATATGTTCCACAGTCACAGATTTGGCACGTTGCCCAAGGAAACAAGTGGATTTCGTGTCTCTTAGTTAAATTAAATACCATATATCATTGCGTGTTCTGTGTGCATATGTGGACTCTCTCTCAATTAAAAATGTGAAGTTGAGGGAATTAGCATGCAATGGACGAAGCTGCAGAACGATTATACGTACGCGTCAGCGCTTATGATCCTTTCCACACAACAACACAAGAATATATATTTTATAATATCATGCAAACATTTGATTCATTAGATTACCACTGAGGGTGTTGGGGACCAACTCAAAGCTTATTTGTGAGCTCACCGAACACGACAACGACATGTCCATCCGTCTTCTTTCCGCCATCTAAGCTATAGTTACTCGTTAGGCATGCCTTTTTGGCCAAAAATTAGTTTTTTTGACTTCAAATACATAATAATACATAAAATAGGCCTCCTCTTCCCTCTCGACCGAACCGACAATTATTGTTAATTGAAAACCTGAT